TAAGACAAGGAATGGGCTCTCAGGGGAGAAGGCCAGCCACCTCCAGGGAGAGAGGGCAGCCTGTGGTGTGGGTGTTCATATTTGCAGAGGCCAGTGCCAGGGGCTGGACCCAGGTGGAGGTGGGGTGGGGCTGCACAACTTTATACTGCTTTCCCTGAGTTTCACCTGCCCTCAGGCTCCAGGGGAGGAAAGGGCTGGTCATTCAGGAGCTATAATGGCTCCTGGGTGCTTCCTGCATTTCAATGTCTTTGGGGTGTTTCCTTTAAGATGCATCAGCTCTCTGGGTGTCCCAAATCCCTGTCTCCTTGGGGCTCAAAATCAGAGACTGAAGCTGTTTGACAGCAATGCAGGAGGCTCTGGGGTTCAAGTGGCAGGCCAAGCTCAGCAATTTAGCAAGGCCCTAAGCAATTTAGAGAGACCCTGTCTCAAAGTGAAAAATAGGAAGGGCTGAGGATGCGGCTCAGTGGTAAAGCACCCCTGGGTTCAGGGCCCTGTAGCAAAAGAAAAAAAGGGTTAGTTGCTTCCTTCTGGCGACATTTCTGCCAACTTGGTTCTTACCTGTTTTGCTCCAGCAGATTCCAGCCAGAGGACCTCCCTCCATCCACTGGCACCTGGAAATGGGGCCAGGAGGAAGGATTTGAAGGAATGCCTCCCCACCAGCTATTCCAAATGGTCTCTGACTCTCTGTGTTGCCAAGGGCCAGTCCTTGTCCCATGTCAATCCAGTAACGAGGACAGTTTGGAGAAAAAGGGAAAAGAAGGTTTATTGCTTTGGGAGCAAAGAAACACAGGGGACACTCCTGTCCCAGAGGCTGGGATTCTGCCCATCCGCAGGAACAGGGGGCTTTTTAAGAGGTGACTCAAAGGCTCCATTCCAGGGCTCCCTGTTGGAGCTGGGATTCACCTGTCAATGTGAGAGAGGCATTTCTGAGAGCTTTCCCCAAAGTCTGCATTACTGGGTTCCTGTGGTGGGTGTGTGCTCAGAGAGACATAAATGGAAGATGGAGAAGAAAGGTGATCCTTTTTCCTGAGATTAGGGAGGGGAGAGATTAGGGAGGAGCAGGGGGAGGGGAAGAGACAGAAACAGTCCATTTCAAAAAAACACTTGCCAGGGCAGAGCAGCCAGGGCTGTATTGAAAGCATGAGGTGGAGCAGGCATACACAGGTGTCACCTCTTTTCTGTTTACTAAATGGGAGCAGTGTTCGGCTTCACAAGGTGTCTGAGACAGAAAAAAAAATGCTGGCTCGAATTTAGACACAGCCTTAGTTAGCGTCCACAGCCTGAAAATCATTTTACTATCCCCTTATTTATAGACATGAATTAATTTAATTCTCTCCATAGATATTTCTAACAAATGCTGTAATGGATGTCAGAATGCATTCATTCCTGTTCACAGGAGGAAAACATCTACCCTGACAAATTTCTGACAATAAAACTATTCAGTTAGAGGGGATGGTGCACGTTTTATCCTCCCACAAATGCCAACAAGTCAATCTCCAAAAAGATGAACCAGTACAAAAGCCAGGTGACAGTGCACACCTGACATCCCAGCAGCTCAGGAGGCTGAGGCAAGAGGACTGCAGCTTGAGCCAGGCTCAGCAACTTAGAGACCCCGTATGGAAAGGAAAATATAAGAAGGGCTAGGAAATCTTTAAAAATACAAAAGCCAGGCACAGTGGTGCATGCCTATCATCCCAGTGACTCAGGAGGCCCAGGCAGGAGTATCACAAGTTCAAAGCCAGCCTCAGCAATTTAGGGAGGCCCTAAGAAACTCAGTGAGACCCTGTCTCTAAATAAGAAATAAAAATGTTTGGGGATGAGGTTCAGTGGTCAAGCAGCCCTGCATTCAATCCCTGGTACCAAAAATGAAATAAAACAAAAATCAAAGAGGTTGGTCTTGTTTTTCTTGATTTGTTGGGTTTGGTTTATACTTGGTTTGGGATTCTGTGTGTGCACCACGTGTGTGTGTTTGGGTGTCTTGCTGGGGACAGAATGAAGGATTTCCCAGAGGTTAACAAGTGCTCATGAGCTACATCCCCAGTCCCTTTGTATTATTTCATTTTTATTAGGAGACAGTTTTGCTAAATTGCCCCTGGTGACCTTGAACTCCAGACCCTCCTGTCTCTGACTCAAGTAGCTGGTGCTCTGCACCACTGCACAGGCCAGAGGAGCCATCTATTTTGGGGAGGGTTGATACTGAGGATTAAACCCCGGGGTGCTCAACCTCTGGGCCACATCCCCAGCCCTTTTGAGTATCTTATTTGGAGACTAGGTTTCCCCAAGTTGCAAAGGATCTTGTGGAGCTGCTGAGGCTGGCTTTGAGCTCACAGTCCTCCAGCCTCAGCCTCCTGAGTTCCAGAGATTACAGGCATGCCGCTGCACCTGGCCACAGTGTCCATCTTTGAGGGCCAGGACTTTGTTTTCATGGTCACCACTTTGTTCCCAGCAGGTACATGAAGTGTGGAAAGGGGTGAGGCGAGGAGCAGTGCAGTTTCTGTGCTGGGACTGAAGTGGGGACTCCAGCAGCTAGGCAGACACTCTACCTGGGTGGTGTCTCCAGCCTTGGGTGGGGCGCATCCCAGGCAGGACACTGAGCTGCAGTATTAGGTAAGGAGACAGACCTGTCCTAGGAATCTGTAAGTGTTTCATGTCATTTTCAACTTGGCTGAGTTATTTTGAGGTCCCTGGTCTGTGACCCCCTCATCAGTCCCCTTCATCCGAGGCCAGGAGGGATGAGGTCCGCCAGCATGGTGATGAACCCAGCCTAATTCCCTCCTAGATTGGGAGTCACCTCGTCACAAAAGTTAATTTCTCTTTTACTATAAATTACTGTGATTTCTAAACTTG